CTAGGCCCAAAACGTCAGCTTTCCTGCTCCTCTGATGCTGCTGGGCCTGCTGTGTTCATCCAGCTCTGCACCTTGTTATCCTGAGGAACTATGTCTTTAATAGTCATAACTGGTCCTCAGTGACTATTTACCTAATTTCATCAAAACCCTGTTACTTCTTGGAATTAAGTGGAGACTTCTGGTCAATTATTTTCCAGTCTGCTAGTATGGTCCCTGTTGTTAACTTCCATCTATGCTGGACTAACGGTTGTTTGGCCTCTCAAAATAATATCAACTCAGGAGAACTAGAAGAATCAGCCCATACCTCAGAGAAGCCAAAGCTCTGCAAGCGTTCTATGTTTACAAGTATTATTAAATTCATTGAAAAGTTGCTAAATATAGAGACTGAGATAATCTTTCAGGAATGAAGAAATAAACAGGGAAAGAAGGATGGGTTTAACGGCGATTTTAAATGTAGGGAGGGTACGAATTGATGATAATCCATTCAGGGACATACGATTTTATTTTAAGTGTTTTCAACGTGATAGAATAATTGATTAGTCATTAGCATCTTTCATCATTTGTGGATGAAACAGTCTACAGGTGTCATACTAACTGGACGAGCCCGATCTTAGATGGGTTTCACGTCTTCACTGCTTCCAAATTTCTAGTTGATTACAAGCATAGTATGAGTTTCTATTCTGTGATCATTTACGTGTAACTGTCATTTTAAAATAACTTTATCTACGGTTCAGTCTCGGAAACTCCAATCATTGATAACAACTCCATCCATTTTTCAGCAATAAACTCGTTAAGGCGCAGAATCAGCTGTTTCTAGTTAGTGAGGTGAACAGGTGAGGAGAATGAGTTGTAAGTAGTTTCTTGGAGTTGTACATTAGTTTGGCTCGTGTAAAGTGAGTAGGTGAGAGTTGTTTTATTCATTAGCGTAGTGGTTAGATACCTTCATTTTAATCTTAAAATACTTGGGTCACATTTCGAGAGGTGAGCCCTGTTTTCTGTATAATGATGTACTGTAATGTGTTTTGTTTTTCACATAAAAGGAAAAGCATTGGATTTTTTTTTTGCAAACTAGCACAAATTTAATGGGGAAGTTTTCCCTTTATGTCCTTGTCAGGCTTTGTATTTGCTTTTCGTTAGGATGTAGTATTCCTACTTTCTTTACTGTTCTAATTTAGTACTTTTGTCTTGATGAATTGTGAAATTCATAATAAGTTACTTCTGAGAGGTTCAGAGTAAGAAGTTGCGAATTAGCTTTAGAGGTTACCTGTGAGGAAGCTTGTTTTTGGTGAAATATTGTTAATAATGGGTAAGACTTTTGACGTGTTTTGATGACATTACTGAAGGCCTGAAACAATGATATCCAACTTGTACAATGGTGACTATTCCCGGGATTATGACCTCTTTTAGACTGAAAAGTAATTCGAGGAAAGATTTCTTCCCCCTCCCCCCCCCTTAATTTACGTACATGAGATGAGTGATTTAGTTGTTCTTTTTAAGACTCTGGATCTCTTGACCTCAGTTACCTATTTAAACACTTTGGGTCGTCCACGCTTTTTACCTGCAATACTCTGTATTGACCTGCGTTAAATATTATCCACTGTCGATTTATTTATTAACTTTTGAGTCTGCTCCTCTCAATTCCGTTTCCGTCTTGATCGCTACAATTTCATGAATTTATGGAGATTTTGATCAAGTAATTGATCTATTGAATGGTGGTTGCTCTTGAGCATCAAGTGCCCTATTGGGGGTGCTAGTTACTGATTGGGCTGGATTTCTTTTAGCTATGGTTAATTTGAGCTAAGCTAACCATTAGAGTTCCACTTGAACTCTTTCTGCATAATCGTCAAGGTTGATTCCTTGAATACATTAAACATAATGTGAGTTCAAAGTTTATTGCAATAAATGGATTGCAATGTAAATAAACTCTTCCAGTCGTATGAGTCCTGTTAATTATGATTAGTATTAATGGTAATTTGTACCATAGTATATGTTCCGGCGGCACGGCTCAGTGGTTAGCACTGCTGCCTCATAGCGTCAGAGATTGTACATTCTCCCAGTGTCTACGTTGGTTTCCTTCGGGTGCTCCGGTTACCTCCCACAATCCAAAAATGTTTAGGTGAGGTGGGTTGGCCGTGCTAAATTGCGTGTTGTGTCCAGGGTATGCCGGCTCGGCAGATTTTTCGTGGGGAAATGCAGGGTTACACGGATAGTGTAGGGGGTTGGGGTCTGAGTGGGCTGCTTTTCCGAGTGTCGGTGTGAACCTGATGGGCTAAATGGCGTGCTTCCACACTGTAGGGATTCTGTACTTTTAAACCTCAAAAAGGTAACTTGACCCTAGGGCTCTGTACTGAGTTAGTTTACGGTTGCTGTAACCGACGTGACCTTTTTTTTTCCCCAAAAGCAGCTTTTAATTGTACACTATGGAACCCTATCTAGGAACTATTTTCTGGCTATCTGGAAGTTGGGTGCAGCTTGAATTTTGATTCCTTACTGACATAAACCCACCCCCAGTAGAAATAACAGCTGACAACAGTTTGAAATAATCATTGAAGCAGTAGAGTTGCCTGTGTCTGCAACTGTTTCCCACACAATCATTTAAGGAGCTGAAAAGAAGGCTTGAAGAATTAGCTCTTTCCAAGTTGCATTCCTCTGAGTACTGAGCAAGTAATTACAAAATTTCAGCACTTGGACAGATTGCGTACATGTCCTTTTTACCTAATTTATTTTTTAAAATTTTTTTGTTTTTGGGATGGGATGGGCCCTTCAACTTTCTTCGACCCCCAATTCTCTTGAGGTGTCTTTCCTCTTCTTTGAATTGGTTACAGTAGATTATGGAAGTTGACAGTCAGAAGTCATGACACTAGTGACTTTTTTTCACAAATGCTACTAGACCAGACTATTTCACGCATTTTGTAACTATTACAAGTAACACACTGAATTACTGCTTATTTTCTATTCCTAAAAGGTATGAGTTTCCTCAAAAATCAAGAGGAAAATGGAAGTGATCAAAAAACCACGAAATATATTCTGAGTTCAAGGTAAATAATTGCTCCTTTCTGATTTGAGCTAGGGTAAAAGATGAGGCAAATTGATATTTAGAGGATGAAAATATTCAGTGATAATTAGGATATGATCGAAACAGAGTCCTGATGCATATTTTAAGCAATCATTCTTCATTCATCTCTGAAGATGGTCCTCCCTATTCATGACAAGTCTGTAAGTTTCCTATTCATGATAGTACTTCCATTATCTTTCTGAAAGGTGTATGCTATCCAACAGTTAAAGTTTTTTTCTAAAATATCATTACTGATATTTTCACTATTACTGAATTACGTGTGGCTAGTTGACATCTATAAATTGTTAACCTGCATTTCACTTGCTTTGTGATGGATTAGTTGTATTTGATTCATTTGATTGGAACTAACTTGGGAGTTTGTAATGCTTAAGTCATCAGAATTTCATCCAGGCCAGGCACTGATGTAAAAACCAAGAACTGCGAATGCTGTAAATCAAACAAAAATAGATTGCCGGAAAACCTCAGCAGGTCTGGCAGCAACTGGAGAGAAATCAGAGTTAATGTTTTGCGTTGAGTAACCTTCCTCAGTGAGTTGCTGGGTTTTTGCAGAAATCTTTTTTGTTTCAGGAAACGAAGTAATTGCTTTAGCTGCTAATTAGAATGTCATTCCACAATGTAGGGCTAATTAAGAAATGTAATGTACTAGTAATTACATGGAGAAATTGGGCCTTAACTTCATCACTTTCCCATACTTGGTCTTGAGACAAATTAATGCAACTGCAAATGACTGGATAATTATCCTTCATTACTTGCAGGGAAGTTTCTCATGGATAATTTTGATGCATGCCACAATTCTGTGTGTTTGATCAAAACTTTGATTTTGACTGACTTGACCGTTTTGTGGTTGATACCCTTCCAAATTATATAAGCAAGATCCCTAAATTGAGCAATTTTTGAGTTAGGTTTGGCAGCAGCACATGTATTCATCAAGTAACAGCTGATGTCTGACCATGCATATTTATAAATTTCCTCCATTTGGCAACAGTAAGGACTTGAACTCCTGTGAAATGTTCTCCTGACTTACTGCCTAAGGTGACCATAATACAGGATTTATAATCTGGCCTTTAGTGGGTTTTTTGCTTTCATCTTTTCAATTTGTTTCAGTTGTGACTTTTATGCAACTTGACTGCAGTTAACTTTTATTTTCTTTTAAAATGGCAGAAAACATTGCAGGTCTTGAAGACCAATATTTCTGGTGAGAAAGGAAGTTCACTTGTTTCTTCCTTTTATTCCTTTATGCTTCACTTCAGCTCGCTGTTAGATAGCAACTCATCCTGACTCTAATCTCTACTGGTCTCCACCTTTTTATCACAGCCTTTTTCTTTCTGTCCTTATCCCCTTACATTTATGTAAAAATGTTGCAGTTTTAGGGCATAAACATGAAACATTCCCTCTGTTTCTCTCCAGTGTCTGATCAGCTGAGTGTTTCCAGCATTTTTATTTCAGATTTCTTGAAACAGTATATTGGTAGTGCAACTAAAGAGGGGCCAATACTGGACCTTGCATTGGCTAATGAGCCTGGCCAGGTGATTGTTTCCAAAATGCTCTCCCACTGAACGTTCAGTGATCACAACTCCTTAAGTTTTAAGATAGCTGTGAACAAGGATAAGTCAGGATGTTGTGGGAAGGTACTGAACCGGGGGCAGGCAAATTATGTCAGTATTAGGCAGGAGCTAGGGAGTGTTAATTGGGAGGAATTGTTACCAGGTAAGTCCATATTTGACATGGAATTCTTTAATGACAAGCTGATAAGAGTTTAAGACCAGCCTTTTCCAGTGAGGGGAAAGGACAAGAATGGCAAGGTAAGGGATAATGAGGAAGGTTGTGAATTTTTCAAAAGGGAAAAATATAGGTTTAGGAAGCTAAAATCAGACAGGGCCTGTGAGAATGGAAACAAAGAATTCGAGCAGGGAATTAGCAAGAAGTGGCCATGAAATGACCTTGGCAAGTAGGGTTAAAGAGAATCCCAAGGCATTCTATACATTAAAAACAACAGGATAACTAGGGAGAAGGTAGGACCACTCAAATAAAGGAGGGAACTTGTGCTTGAGGGTAGAGAATGTGGATAAGATCCTAAATGAATACTTTGCATTGGTATTCACCCAGGAGAAGGATATGGAAGATAGTGAAATTTGTGTGGAGCATGCTAATATGTTAGGGCATTTTGAAATCCAGAAAGAAGTGGTGTTAGATCTCTTTGAAGAGCATTAAGGTGGATAAATACCTAGGACCCAATGGTATCTATCCCCAGTTTTTGAGGGAGGAAAGAGAGGAGATTACTGGGGCCTTGACTATGATCTTTGTATGCTCTCTAGTCATGGGAGAGGTCCCAGAGGACTGGCAAGTAGCTAATGTTGTTCCTTTTTGTTCAAGAAGGGAAACAAGGATAATATAAGAAACTATATAGATCAGTGAGTCTCATCAATGGTTGGGAAGCTACTGGAGAGAATTCTTAGGGATATGATTTACATATATTTGGGAAAGCATGGGCTAATTAGGGACAGACAGCATGTCTAATTAACTTGATTGAATTTTCAAGGAGGCGGCGAAGATCTTTTTAGTAAGGCTTTCAACAGGGCCCCTCAGCTCATCCAGAAGATTTAAGATGCTTGGGATCTGTGGTGACTTGGCTGTGTGGTTTCAGAATTCGCTTGCCCATAGCCAGGGGATAGTGGTGGAAGAGTGTCTTTCTGGCTGGAGGTCTGTAACTAGTGGTATTCAACAGGGATCTGTACTAGGACTTCTGCTGTTTCATATATATTAATGAGTAGGATGAAGATTAGATGGGTGGGCCAATGGGTTTGTAGATGATACAAAGATTGGATTTGTGGGTAGTGTAGAAAGTCATCAAAGGATGCAATGGGATATAGATCATTGCAGATATGAGTGGAGAAATGGCACATGGAGTTTCACCTGGGCAAGTGAGGTGCTGCACTTTGGGACATCAAATAAAAGTATACAGTTAATGGCAGGATCCTGAACAGAATTGATGTGCAGTGGGATCTTGAGGTTCAAGTCCAAAGCTCCCTGAAAGTAGCCACACAAGTAAATAGGGTGGTAAAGGATGTGTATGGCATGCTTGTCTTTATAGTTGGGGAATTGAGTACAAAAGTCAAGATATCATGTTGCAGCTTTATAAGACTTTGTTTAGGCCACACTTTGGAGTACTGTGTTCAATTCTGGTCACCAAATTACAGGAAGGATGTGCAGGCTTTGGAGACGGTGTGGAAGACAATCTCCAGGATGCTGCTTGGATTAGAGGGTATGAGCTCTTAAGAAGAGGCTCTTGAGCAGTGGAGGCTGAGGGGACACTTGATAGAAGTCTCTAAAATTGATATGCATAGATAGGGTTGACAGTCCATCTTTTTGCCAGAGTTCAAGTGCCTAATACTAGGGGGCGTGCATTTAAGGTGGAAGGGGAAGCTCAAAGTAGACATGAGGAGCAAGTTTTCTAGAGTGGTAGGACCTGGAATGCACTGCCAGGGGTGGTGGTTGAGGCAGAAATGATCAGAGCATTAATGAATTTTTAAGTGTATGAATGCACAAGGAATGGAGGGATATGGAGGAACAAGGGGGGCAGAAGGGATTAGTTTCACTTGGCATCATGTTTGGCTCAACATTGTGGACCAAAGGACCTATTGCTGTGCTGTACTATTTATTCTTTGATAGTATTATGCTTCAGAATTTTATGTCAAGGTGTGTTTTGAATATGCAGTTACTGGATTAAACACTTCAGTATGTATTGGAGATTTTAGTCCAGATTTCATGGTCAGCAACTTTTTGTGACATGAATTTCATCTTTCATGCCAATTTCAAACTAATGTCAGGAATGAGCTGCAGTGATATTGAACAAGGTAAACAACCAGTTCAACAAGCCAAGAATACTTTCCTCTGAAGGTAGAGAGGGAAGGAGGAATGTGAATATCAATAAGGAAAAGCACTGAGACATCTCCTTAAGGGCTGAGATTTTTTAATCAACCTGTTCAGATGTTACTACCACCTTCTGGAGCAGGTGGGACTAGAACCTGAGCCTCCTTGCTCAGATAGGGACACCAGCACTGCACCACAAAAGCCTACTTATTTAAGGGCTGGTATGCCCTCAGCTGATGGCTTTCATCTTGAGTTCTTCCAGGAAGTGGCAAAAAGATGAATGCCTTGACTCTGATCTCCCAAATTGTTCAGATTCTTTAAAGCTGTTGTGGATCTACTAATCAAAATAGAGCCCAGCACTGGAGAGCACATGCGTTTTTTGACTTGGAGATAGTAAAGGCAAGGCTGTGGAGGGAATTGAAAATGTGACCTTGCTTTTAAAATGTTTGAAGCAGTTCAAAGTCAAAAAAGGTGAGCAAGAATGGTGAGTTCTGTTTCTCATCCATGTATGAATCAAACCAGTTCAATCTCCACTTGGTTATTTCAATTATATCTTTTTTGTTTCCAGTTCTGCTGTCAACTTGTCAATAAGGAGTTTTATTTTGGCTAAAACTATTAATAAGGTGAGTAAATGGATTACATGGAACAACTTTACTGGCATTTTAATTCAGTGTTGTTTGTGTAACATGGACTTAGCTGTTTAAAGAAACAAATATACATGGCTTATCAATAAATTTTAGAGGATCAAGTCAGGATAACCTTGATTCTAACTCCTCCGGACTTCTATTTACCACTTTTTTTTTGTCTCCTTTCTCACGAATGTCGCTTAAACCCAATAACTCGAATGTCAGTTCTTGCATACTGATTTGAGGTACTGGAACTTTCCAGCATTTTTGCAACTATTGTTCAGCCTGTTTTTAAAAACAAACTGTGATTGACACCCTACATAGCTTCTAAAACATAGATTTCTTTTTCAGTTTTATTCATCTCATCCCATTACTGCTGTTGAATAGTTTTGAAGTAACCATTTATCACTTGAGCCTTGATTTTATTTGGTATTGTTTGATTTGTGGTGCATATAACTGTTTGGACAGTAAACTTTCTGGTGCTCCTATTGGCTGGTAGAAATTATCTTGAACCTCTGGGTTATTTGTCTTGTTAAGAAACATAGTATATGGGAACACCACAGCCTGCAAGTTCCCCTTGAGGCACTTGCCATCCTAACTTGAAAATGTATTGCTGTTCCTTTAGTGTTACTGGGTGAAAATCTTGGAATTCCTTCCTTTACAACATGGTGGGTATAAATGGAATACAGCAATTCAAGAAGGCAGCTCATCACCTTCTCAAGGTCAACTGGGCAATCAGTGCTGACCCAGCCAATTATGCTGTTGTCCCACAAATAAATTAGAAAAGTAAACTTTGCAATTGGGGTCCTTGATACTCTTGACTTTTTCAAAGGCTCTACCAGAGTGAGGGTGACTTTGCAAACAATTGTTTGCATGAATAAAACTGAAGTTTTAGTCTATAGTAACGTTTTTCTAACTCTTGCTGAAATGTCATTCCAAACGTGAAATAGTGCAAACGCTAATTTGTACTCACAATGAGCTCAGTGCTCAAGTGAGATGTGAATTGTACTGATTTTCAGCTGTGTCTATTGTGCATATTGCCAAACATAAGCTATAAGCCAACACAGCACAACTAGGTGTTTCTTAAAAATAAAACTCTTCCAAAAATGTTTAAATTCCTCACTATTCAAGTGTTCAGATATAGTTATTTATTACAGCTGAACTTGGCCTTAGCAGAAGCAAATTTTAAACATATTAATCCACTAACACTAATTTCAAAAGTTTAACAAAACTTGAGCACAAGTTTGCTTCCTAAGAAATTTGCAACTAATCAAACCTTTTAAGATGTGCTCATTTGAAGAGCTAAAGTAAAATTAGAAGAAACGCTCAGATTTCATGGATGTGGTCAGTTTTGTAGGTAGGGCTAACTTTTAGTTTAAATCTCAAACATTTGTGCTTAAGTGTTACTTTTTTTGTCATAGTATATCTGGTTTTTGGGTAATTGACCCAAAAGTCAAGTGGAAAATGCAGGCCTCTTCCTATTAAAGCTTACTGTATCTAAATACCTAGTGCTATAATTAAGCACTGATTTATATTCCAAATTTAATTTGGAAAACATGCTAATAATTACATCTTTACATCTCGTGCACTAAGTATAATCCTTGTTCATCCTTCACTTAGATTTTTTGAACTTGTAAATTTCCCCCTTCCTTGGCAGATGAATAATGCTCAGTGCATTACATCTAATGACAATATTCAAATAGTCAGTGAATTTTAACACTCAACAGAAACACAAATGGACCAACCACACAAAGCAAGAACAGATTTAATCAGCTAGAAATTCCCCAGCAAGTAAGTGCAATCCTAATACATTTCAACCATCGACAGAATATGTCACATTTAATTGGTACCCTGCCTGCCATGGCAACACTTTGTCTAAGATGTATTGCAGCAATTTCTACCACCTCCGAGAACAAGATCAGTATGCACGTGAGCACCATTTGCATGGTCCCTTCAAGAACTACAGCATATTGGAAATATTGTCATTCTTTGTCACTAAAGTATAATCCTGGAACACCCCACCTAACAGGAAGGATTATGTACATCATGCAAACTACAGTTCAGAAAGGTGAGCACTACCACTTTGAGGGCAATGTTGGTCTTGTTGGTGAAACCCACATCCTTTCAAATGTGTAATAGAAAATGTTTTAAACATAGTACAGAATGCTCCTGACTTTGCACAGGTAGAGATCATGTCACTAGAAGAAAAATGCATTTGAGTCATTAAAACAGAGTCAAAACTCTTAAAGTCAGAGTTAATACTTGGATAGAAATTTACTTCCTCGACAAAAGGGAGAAATGAGTGAGAAACTGCAAGGGATCTAAGCCACCTGTTGTGAATGGGTGTCACAAGTAGCTCTTAACCCAGAGTCTAAGTGAAGTCCTCCTCCCACTAATCCTGAAAATGGCATCTATCCAGGTGCAATCACAGCACAACCACTAAATTGTACATAGTTTGCCAATTTTTTTTTTTTAAAAATCTCTAACTGTGGTTTCATTTGTTTCCACAACTTGCAAAGCATTCCAGCAGTTCAGGGCACATGCCTGGGGGAGAATAATGCCTTTTGATCCCATGCCCTTAAATGCTTCAAAGGCATTTTTCTGCAGTTCCTTACAGGCTGATTTAGTCTTTTCACTACTTTTCAGCTGAATCGTAAATTTCAACCTGAAGCTATGCAGCAAAAGCCTCGGCCTGCTCTGGAGAAGATTCCACTCCCAAGACAACTTCACGCTATTCATCAGCCACGCAAATGCTGATTTCAAGAGATCAATTCTACACCCTTTGACAGACACCGTGCAAACTGAAGAAAACAATGATGCATTTTCATTTCAAATACTAGTCTCTTCCATAGCTACATAATGCAATGTGATTCCTTCCCCATATCTTAAACTGCTAGAAACCTTCCTGATCAAATGAAATATTAGTTCAATATATCTATTAGTGTACCAGATTTGTCATTGGTGTCTCCAGGGTTAAATTTGACTATTCAACGTGATCTTCAATAAGTAAGACAGCAGATACAAATGAATTTGTTCTTGGTCTTTTGTCCTTTCTTTATCATAAGATAAATGTGTAAGTAGTCCCACAACAGTAGAAACTTAATGATTATTTCAAAATGTTGCATCCCCCTTGAATAGAAGGGACTAAAATGGCGACTTGTGCAGTGTCATAGGTTAAACACTGCAGTCCTTCTATCTGCTCTGCATTGGTAATAAACTTTTCTTGCATTCACAATGGTGCTAGCTTCCATTTTTCCACTTTCATGTTTCCACCTGCAAAAGCATTTATGAAGTGACAGAATTTGTTTACTGCAATAAAGTAAGCATTGGTGAGATCATTCCTCAGGTATATGCTGTGCTACTGCCTTACCTATTTAAAAATTTGCTGTAGAGATAGTGAAACAAGGTTCACCTAACTTTTCTGGGATGAATGGATTATCCAAAAGAGGAAGGATTGAGGTTAGGCTAATCTAAAATGATCAAGTTGAACCTTGTAAGAATTTGTTTTACAGGGTGGCTGCAGGAAGGATGTTGCCTGCCCTGGTCTAGAACAAGGGGACACAATTGCAGAATAACAGGCCATTTGGGACAAACATGAGAAGGAACATAGAACATATAGAGCAGTACAGGCCCTTCGGCCCTCGATGTTGCGCCGACCTGTGAAACCAATCTGAAGCCCATCTAACCTAAACTATTCCATTATCATCCATATGTTTATCCAATGACCATTTAAATGCCCTTAAAGTGGGCAAGTCTACTATTTTTGCAGGCAGGGCATTCCACGCCCTTACTATTCTGAGTAAAGAACCTACCTCTGACATCTGTCCTATATCTATCACCCCTCAATTTAAAGCTATGTCCCCTCGTGCTAGCCATCACCATCCGAGGAAAAAGGCTCCCACTGTCCACCCTATCTAATCCTCTGATCATCTTGTAAATTCTTTCATTTGATGGTTAATGTTTGGAATTTTCTACCCCATTGGCCTAGGAGATTTCACCATTGAGAATTTTCAATGTGGAGACTAATGATTTCTGGATAGTAAAAATATCAAGGGATAATGTGGGAAATTTGGTGTTGAGATCATGGCTGATATGTTTCATTGAAAGGCAGACTTGAAGGCCTACTCCTGCTCTGATTAACTTTAGTAGTACAAGGGTCAGTTTTTCCAGTTAGCTGCAATCAGCACATGCAAACCTTCCCAATATGTGCTAGTAACCAGTTCTTCCAACCCCAGCTGTCTCGTGCACAGCATAGCATTTCCTGTCTAATTCCGGAGAGTCGGAGGACATGCCATCTTTTTATGGCAGTAGCTGTTATTTTCCAGTAAGTATTTAAAGATAGACACCCATCCATTCCCTCTATTGTAGGACAGTTAGTCAAGATGGTGATTGGGTCTTGAAGATTGGTTGTGGTTTTTAACCTGTATAATGTTTTCAGTGTACCATCAAGATAAGTCGTGTACATGCAACTCAAGTCTTTGCTCTCAGCTCAAGTCAGTTCTTCCTGCAGGTCACAGCCCATAAAGAATTACCTGTTGAGCGCTTTTAAACTTGCTTGGTTTTTACCCTTTTTAAGTTCACCAGTCAAGTTGTCTTCTGACTGGCCCAAATCTTCCAGTTTCTACAATGTATTTATTGGAATTCAGATTAGTTGACTTTTCAGATGATAGGCAGTAGCTTGCTTGGCTGAAAGATAAAAATAAATGTTGCTTCAGCAATTTTCCATTTTAAATTCCATAATTTACTGAGGCTTGAACATATCATGAGGAACACAGATAAAATGAATAGCAAAGATCTTTTTCTTAGGGTAGGGGAGTTCAAAATTGGGCATATTTTTAAGGTGAGGGGAGAGATTGAAAAGGGACCTTGGTCACTTTTCACACAGGGTGGCTTGTGTGTGAAATGAACTAACAGAAGTGGTAGATGCACATATAGTTACAACATTTAAAATACATTTGGACATTTACACGAATAGGAAAGGTTCAGGGAGTATGGGCCAAATGCAGGCAAAACGGACTAGTTTAGTTTCAGAAACTTGGTCCGCATGGACAAGTTGGGCTGAAGGGTCTGTTTCTGTGACATGCGTGTTTATAGTTGGATCCATGTGATGACCTGCTTACTGATCAGATCTCATACTTCCATGTTGCAGTTTGGGAAATCCAAGCAAATGCAAGGTCAGTGGCTTGTTAACTCAGATCAGGGAATAATTGGCAGCAGCTGTGAGCAACTTGATTCTGGCTGGTATATGAAGCCTGGCATATGAATAATGGTTTGAAAAATAACCTTCACTTATCAAAATATGAAATATAGTAATATTTACAAATAGGGTAAAGACCTCACATTTGACAGCCTAAAGGCCAAAACACGACTTGATACCAGCCCATCTACTTGTTTATCACCAATACATGGGGGCTGCAGTGTGCAATGTTGACTTAAAGCTTTGACCATACTTTTCAAAGCTCCTGCTAACGTTGGAAGAGCAGCTAAATGACGTTGGATGTCATATTGCCATTCCATTAACTTTTTTTTTCCACTGGGTTAAAATCCTGGCGGGCCTCAGCACTGGGAGTACACTTGTGTCTTGGCTTTGTGAAATCAGTTAGGGATGGGCATTAATGCTAGTCTCTTCAATTCCCAACATTAAATTATTAGAACATTTTAATTCTAAAATTAATGTAATTGTCCACAAATTACCACAAGCTATCTCTATTTCAGCTATCTATTAGGAAATCTCTATCAAATACTGAGGCAATTACTTAAATTCTATTGCATGAAGCAGCTAAATAAGACCCCTCAAAACAAGGTAAACCTCAACCCACCTTAGCAATTACACATTCAATGGTGGAATTTAACTGATTCCAACGAGCAGTGTCTGTCTCTGGATATCCAGGGTTTGATCCTTGTGCAGTGTTCTTAGAAGTTCTGCTGCTGAAGGATCATGGAGTTGAATTCTTATACAATTTTCCCTCTTGAAGTTTGTGCTGTGACATTAGTGATCCTTTTTAGGTTCTTTCATCCCTAACGTTGATGACACTTCTGGAGTTCTCCAGTCTGCAGCTTGCCACCTCATCAGAAGTAGCTCTTTGTTACATTTGGGGTTAACTGTTTGAAATAGATAACTGTGCCAGTAACCCCTTTACCTCAGGACATTCATTCTGCAGGCAGTCTTAATTGCCCATTTGTCATGAGGCAGCAGGTTATCCAGAAGTGTTGCCTCTTGCCCAACAAGCAGAATTTTTTTTTTTTTTTTTTTTTTTTTTTTGTTGCTTTAACTCCTTCCCAGTTAATTAGCATATTGCTTTAAATTCCTTTTCTATAACCTTCTCCATTTCCCTTCATTTCGGGAAATCATTATTCCAGAAAGTTATTGCTGATCCTTTCAGTGTATGAACAACTTTAAGTTCTGAAGCTTCCACTCTCACAACAATACTCAAAACAATGGATACTCTTCAGTACCAATCTCCAGATACTTTTAAAATCCTAGAAGTTTGAATATTGCTGATAGTCTAATCATCAGCATTTTGTGTAGGTTTGAATATTTTTGGAAAATTGTACACATCACTGCATCATTTACAAGTCCAAACCATGGATCAGTTACCCTAATGTCATCAGGAAATGACTAGTCTCTGGTTAAGGATGTTGTGACTGCCTTACATTTTTTTCCAATGACCAGAGAACTAACATTGGCTTGTCAAAGTATAATTTGTGCTTGACCAGCCTGATTGAATTATCATCTTTTCAAGTGGTTGACTAAAGCAGATTGGACAATATATGGATACTATTTAAATGTAAGGCTTTATGAAAGCAGCATTTTATTAGTAACTTTAGATGAAGTTTGAGGGTCGTGAAATTGTTGGCAAATGATTCACCTAGTTAGGAAATTCTCTGACTAGAACAGTTTGAGGGACAATGGGCATGAAGGATTTGACAGGATTTTACCTAGGATCTCTCTGACTTGGATGATTTATAAGAAAGCCGCATACAACAATGCTGATGCTTTAATTGTTTTCAATTGTAAACAACAGACTGCAGCTAAAAATTTGAAAAAGGCTGATAGTGAATGGACAAGGCTTTAGAATTTCTATAGTTAGATTAGGTTGCCCACATACTGCTTGGTTAGGTCTATTCTAAATGGTATTTTAAAAGTCTTTTGCTGTTTTTAGTTTGGTGATGGTTTGTGCACACGGATCACTAAATGTCATAAGATTTAAAAAGTTAATGGAATTCTGGCCTTGTATGAGGTTGCAAGCCTACAGAAAGGCTTGATTACATCATACCTGGAATATTTCCTGTGCAGTTCTGGGTGCCATACCTTGAGGTATATTAGCTTTGGAATACAATATAGGCTTAGATATGATAGCTTAGACACCAACAGTAAAAATACAAGGTGTGATTAAACAAATTGTTTCTTTTTTAAGATACAAGGATAATTAAGTTTGTTCAAACTTAAGATGTTAGTACTAAGGTAAATAGAAATGACTTCCAGTGACTCTCTAGAGCAGTCATTTGGTTCAAAAAGATTAGAACCAGACCCTTTTGGGACTAAAATTGGGGAAATACTTCATAGACTGGGTGATAAGTTTGTCATCTGCGTATGTCAATTAGATTGATTTTTTTAAAACTTGGGTATTGTGGAATATGGGACAAGCAAGTATAAAATTGTTGCAAATCAGCTTTGGTCTCATTGAACGAAGGGACAGGTTTGCAGTGTTCAATGGTCTGCTCTTGTTATTATGTACATAATGTGTTTTGAAAATTAGGTCAAACTTAATGTAATGAAATCTTACCTGATCAACGTGACAAAAGCCAGAACAGTTAGGAATGATGTATAACTTGATTCTATTTTTAAGGGGAGATTATGGTTTTAGTTTGTTTTTTATGGGCTTTGTGACAGGTCTGGAAGTCTGTTTTTGCATACACCTTTTCATGAGGCTTTACAGCTCTTTAAGTTTTTAGTACGTTAAATTTGGGAAGAACTGCCTCGTGTTGTAATCCCAACTGATGGTGATACTGGGCAAGTCAGCCAGAGTCCAATCTGGCTTGATAGCACGAGTTTAATTTGTGCAGTTGGTCACTATGCTTAATCGCTGAACCTCTTCAAGTTTGCCAATGAACTTATCAACTTTTTTATTTAAAAGGAACTACATGATAGTTTAGAAAGATCATAAATAGCAAAGCAAAGATTAACTTATTTCATAGCAATATCCTTTTTTTTTTATAGATAGTTAGTCCCAGTGAAATATCAAACTTAATTTCTTTCTTATCTGACTCCATTCCTGTTTGGCCTAGTGATTTATTTCAAAGTCTGACCCTAATGTCTTCAGTTCTGACAACTTGGAGACTTCATGGGCTAAAACCCTTTTTGGCTAAAGTGGAGCCATTCTCCTGAGATGACAAAATTCTGAACTTCTTGAAAAAAATTACAGGATTTAAACTTTTTCTAAACACTTCAGTTAACTTTGTACGCACACTGCTAGATATTTTTTAAAAAGTCGCAAGTTTGGAAACGATTCATTTAGTTCACTTCCAAATTACTTTGACTTTAAAATATTTTACCTTTTTGTAGAACTGAAATCTTACAGATTTTTTTTTTTACAATAAAAGAAAAAATGTATTCTATATACCTTTTTTCTACATCCTCGACAACACTGTCCAGGGAGAGAAATCCAGAAATGGTCGATATGGGTGTCAGGGTGGAAATGGGAGAATGAAATGTTCTAAAGATTTTCTGCTGAAAATGGAGTGTAGAGAACTCCATGTTTGCACTGAAATTAGTGACTTTGGTTTGCTTTGGATTACTCTAAGATTATGAGAAACTTGTAAGATTTTGCTGGAAGGAAACTCGTTGCAGCTGTGCCAACCTCTGCACAAATCCTTAGTGTGGAGATAGGGATGAATCTACATTGCAGGCAATATCCTTAATATCCCAGTGAAAAGAATAATGAATCTGGATTGTACTGGGAGCTTTCCAATTTTTTGTCCAGTGTAATATTTTTATTGTTTAATAAAAACTACTTAAAAGTACACTACTCATAGACCTGTGAATGTGTGTCCATTGAATGATCTTTTTGTTTTTAACACAAAAGTAAACACAGGTTCTGTCAAGCTAGGTTTCACTCTGGGATCTGACTTGTTCAGTATTAACAAAAGCTGGGATCATACCAATACTACCACTGCATTACCAAATTGAGCTACTCCTATATAGACTTCAAAGATGATGAATAAAAAGTCAGATAGTAGGAACTGCAGATGCTGGAGAATCTGAGATAACAAGGTGTAGAGCTGGATGACCACAGCAGTCTGAGCAGGAAAGCTGACGTTTCGGGCCTAGACCCTTCTTCAGAAATGGGGGAGGGGAAAGGGGTTCTGAAATAAATAGGGAGAGGGGGAGGTGGATAGGTGGAGAGGAGACACAGGTCAAAGAGGCGGAGATGGAGCCAGTAAAGGTGTGTAGGTAGGGAGGGGATAGCTCAGTCCAGGGAGGATGGACAAGTCAAGGGGGTGGGATGGGGCTATTTCAGAACCCCCTACCCCTCCCCCATTTCTGAAGAAGGGTCTAGGCCCGAAACATCAGCCTCCCTGCTCCTGAAATGCTTGGCCTGCTGTGTTCATCCAGCTCTACACCTTGTTATCTATGAATTAAAAAGTGAGCCAAGTTCACTGCAAAAATTTGATGTTTATTTCCCAGGATGTCCCCAAAATAACTGGAGATTTGTCAATCTTAGAACATTTACAGCACAGGGGGTTTGTTAGCTCAGTTGGCTGGATGGCTGATTTGTGATGTGAATACTCTACTGGCTGAGGTCACTAAAGGTCCTACTTCCTTGCCACTTGCCTGAGGCCTGGTAATAGTAAGGTGAAACTTGTCATAGGCTGTCTAAGAGTGGTCCTTGTAGATGACGTGAGATGGGTGGAGGGAGTGTTGGAAGGCTGCAGAAGGACGTGGACAAGTTAGAGGAGCACTCGAAGTGGAAGCTTGGAATACAATGTGGGAAAGTGAAGTTGAACACCTTTGCTGGGAAGAATAGAGATAGATTAATTTCTAAATGGGAAAAGGCTCTGCAAATCTGCAGTGCAGAGGGACTTGGGAGACTTACCTCAGGATTCTTTTAAGGTTAATGTGTAGGTTCAGTTAGGAAGGTGAAGTTAGCATTTATTTTGAGGGTTAGAATACAACAGCAGGGATGTACTGCTGAAGCTGTAGAAGGTCTTCAGAAAACTGAAGATTACAATTGGGTTTTGAGCACTGTATCTAAGGAAGGATGTTTTGCTATTGGAGGGGGTCCAGAGGACATTTATAATGATTCCAGGGATGAAGGGTTTGTCATGAGGAGCAGTTGAGGACTCTAGATCTGTACTCTGGAATTTTGAAGGATGAGGGAGACTGTGATTGAAACATAGAATACTGAGAGGCCAGGATAGAACTGACAGAGAAGATATCTTCTCTAGGAGGAGAGACTTGGGACCCAAGGCCATAGTCTGAGTGAAGGGACAAGCCTTTGGAACAGATAAGGAAGAACAAAAACAGAAGGTGCTGAAAAAGCTCAGGTCTTGCAGCATCTGTGAGGAGAAATGTTAACATTTTGGATCCAGTGACCCTTCCCTCCTGCAAACTTCACAAATGCTGCCTGAACTGCTGAGCTTTTTCAGCAACTTCAGTATGTTTGATTTATGTCCTCCGTCCTTTTTTTGAGACGAGCAATTTGAGTCAAGTGGTGAATCTGTAAAGCCTATTGCTGCAGAGAGCTGTCGGGGCGAAGTCAGTAAATTTTTAAGACCGATTTTGTGTTTGATTGATTAGTAAGGAGGTTTGAATCCCACCATGGCAGATGGTGGAATTTGGGTTCCTCTTCTTAATTAACATTAGACTCCAGACCCCCTTTTTTTTTTTTTAAAAAAATTCCAGAAACGCCCATCTGGTTCATAATGTACTATTTAAGGAAGGTCAGAAATCCCACAACACCAGGTTATAGTCCAAAAGGTTTACTTGAGAACAAGCTTTTGGAGCCTCACTCCTTCATGTGTTAGTGAGAAAGGACAGTATCAGATGCAGAATTTATAAGCAGCAGATCTAAGGGTTGCACCACTGAGTATGTATTAAACAAACCTAAGATGCTGTTAAATCTTTCTTCAGTTAGAAGGTTTTAATTGATATGTACATGTAAATCCCTGAAGTCCTCTCAAGTCACAGTCCTGAGGGAACTAAAGGCTTTCAGTGTAAAGAAGAGGTGACATTTTACATCAGACAATGCATGTTAGGTGTGAGGTATTGTTTAGAATCTGTTCTGGTTTGGAGTCAGACTGGTATTTACTTGTAGAGTAGGAATTCTAAAATGCCACATTGTCTATAAGTTTTCCTTTTTAAGGAAGGAAACTGTCATCTTTACCTGGTCTGGCTTACATGTGACTCCAGACCTATAACAATGTTTGACTTTTAATGGCCGTCTGGGCAATAAATGCGGTCTAGCATCTTGTGCATTTTCAAGTTCTGTGCAATTCTGCTGGCTCAACTCCCACTTTCCGTGCAGATAATTCTGAACATCTGAGTTCTGAGGAAGGGTCACTGGACCCGAAACGTTAGCTCTTTTTTGTTTCCCTTCACAGATACTGCCAGACCTACTGAGCTTTTCCAGCAACTTTGTTTTTGTTCCTGATTTACAGCGTCCGCAGTTGTTTTGGTTTTTAATTCTGAATATTTACAGGTCTACTACCCTTTTTCAAAACCGTAACTGCATATTCTGCCAACAAATTCTTGGGCAGTGCATTCAAGATCTAACCACGAGCTGCATTAAAAATCTTTCCTCCTCTCATCTGCTTCTCTTCCTTTTTTGTGTTTACCTTTAAAATCCGTCTCCTCTGGTTCTTGTATCTGATGAAAATAGTTCCTCCCCGTCTCTATCTGAAGCCCTCAGCTTCTGAGCATTCCTTTCAAATTTCCTTTCAGCCTTTTCCTTGAGGTAAGCATCCCAGCTTCTCCCGTGTTTCTTCATCACTGAAGTCCTTTTATTGCGCACGTTTTTTTTTCAGATTTTCTTTGCACCACGTCTTTTTTTTCACATCCCTCCTTTTAAACTGCATAGAATTGAACATGAGTTTTAGTCTCGGTATAACTTTTTTTTTTAGTACTCTAGAAAACAGAGGACTCCTTTATTAATTCCTTCCTTAACCTACCCTGCCATCCCCGAGGCCTTGAGTGCACATACTCTTGGTCCTCTGCTCCTAAATGTCTTCCGGACATACCTGTGAGCCTTTATTAAGCCCCTCCGTTCTTTCAAAAATGTATCACTTCACACGTCTTCGCATTAGATTGCACCTTCCAGCGTGTTTGCCTTTTCCGCTAGCCTTTTTGTGGAGGGTTGTGGCAGGCTTCAAAAGGACATACAAGAATTTAAGGCAGCTGTCCTAAAATAATGCTTCTATAGTACTTAAAATTTCAGTGGAGCTCCTTCTTCTACTTTACCTCAGGCTTGGTTTTAAATTATTGTAATATTGCCTACTCATTACATTTAAATCACAATCGTGTAGGGGTTAAAAGTTACTTTGTCTCCCACTACTCCTACCATTCCTGTTAATTCATCCCTGATCTCAGCACACTTTTGTTTAATATTTTAATAATTCCCCGATTTGGGCGGGGGCAGAATGACTTGTTTTATGGACCAATGATTCACTTGGAGAAAGTGCGCAGGTTGTGTACATTAGCCAATGGCGATAGGGAGGGGGTGGGCGTAGCATGTTGACGCTCGAGTTTTCTTTCAATGACCTCATTGGGCGGGGGGCGTGCGGGGCGGTTGGCGGGCGGTGGGACTGAGGGAAGACGGGCGGACGGAGTGGTCATTCGCAGTGTGGCCGAAAGTGGACGGTGGTTATTTGCAGTGCAGTCAAAGGCGGTGAACGGACAGTTGGTCATTCCCAGTGCGGCCGTGACTCGGCATAGTTTCGTCGACAATTGGTAAGTTTTAAAGTTGAGCCGAGGAGTGAGTGTCATGAGACCTTCTTGCTTCTTCGGCTGAAAGTCTTTTTTTTTCCGCCCCCGTTTCTCGAATCTTTATTTTTCGGAGACGGTTAGTGATCTTGAATGTCGGTGAGTTGAAACTGCCGTCTGACCCTATGAGCCGAGATCCCGTCACGGCGGCGGCGGCGGCACTGATTGAACCGTAGGAAAGTTCTGGAAAAGTTGAGTGGCAGACTGAGTGCGGTTGTACGAGAGCCGGCTCTACTTAGGTTGCCGTGTTGTGTTTTTTGGGTGGGGAGAGGAGAGGAGAACTCAGCTCGGTTTCTCATGTCACCAGTTGGGGACGGTAGGGTGCGGACTGGCAAAGAACTGGAATGGGAACGCCCTGACCGCGAAATGAACAAGTTTTTGTTTGATGTGGCTGTCGGCGGACGGGTGTGAAACAGACGATCCCAATCATTTCAGCCGGAGATAGCAGGAACTGCATTTCAGCAGTTCTGTATTCCGTTTCATCGTTAATTCTTTCTCATTTCACTTCTTTGGAACCGGCTAATTTAAAAAAAAATAAAAAGCCCCTGTAATTCACATTCGGAGATTTGTCATTTTTGATACCCTTAATTTAAAATGACCGACCAAGAACCCACTGTTGCAAATTGTTCAGATCATAGAATGGTTACAGCACAGAATTACGTTATTTGGAACGAAAGTAGAAATTGCTGGAGAAACCCAGCGGGTCTCGTAGCATTTGTGGAGAGAAAGCAAAGTTGAGGTTTTGGGTCCATTAACCCTTCAGACCACTTTGAAGTTTTGTGATTTGTAAATTTTGAAGTTGTGTCAATAATATGTCAAGAAAAGCAGTGGTCTAATTACTGGCCACTAGGAAATTCCAGTGTATACAATTACATGGCATTTTATCAAAAATCTTTTTGGAAGTCCATGCGGACCGCCTCGGTTTTATTTTTTTAAAAAAAATCTCACTGAAGCAAGTTGAACGTTATTTGTCTTTAACGAAAGACAGCAGGGATTTGTTAATGTGGAGAAGACGTGGAAGCTAGGGAACTTGGGGAAATAAATAGTGATCCCTTGAAAAGAGTTTGTTACAGAAGAGGGGGTGCTGGGAGTCTTAAAACACGTAACGGTAGATAAATCCCTGAGACCTGATCAAGTGTTTCCGAAAGCTTTGTGAAAAGCCAGGGAAGTGATTGGTGGGCTGAGATAATATATCATCGACAGCCACGCATGAGTTGCCAGAAGACCGGAGATTGGATAATGTGTGCCATTCTTCAGGAAAGGCTGTAAGGAAAATCCAGGGAACTATAGACTGGTGAACCTTACATCAGTGGTAGGTAACTTGCTGGAGCGGATTCTGAGGGACAGGATTTACACACGTTTGGAAAGGCAAGGGCTGATTACAGATAGTCAGCATCGCTTTTTGCGTGGGAAAACGTGTCTCTCGAACTTGGTTGAATGCTTTGAAGAGGTGACAAAGAAGATTGATGAAAGCAGAGCAGTAGACATGTATATGAACTTCAGCAAAGCATTTGATAAAGTGCTGCATGATAGACTGCTTAATAAGGTTAGGTCACATGGAATCCAGGAGAAGCTATACAGTTGGATACAAAATTAGCTTGAAGGTAGGACACAGAGGGTTGTGGTGGAGGGTTGCTTTTTTCAGGCGGAAGCCTGTGAACCGTGGTGTGCCCCAAGGAGCTGTGCTGGGTCCACTGCTTTCTGCCATTTACATAAATGGTTTGGATGTGAATAGTGGATGGATGGTTAGTAAGGTTGCAGAGGACACCAAAATAGGTGGTGCAGTGGACTGTGAAGAAGGTTATCTCACTACAACAGGACCTTGATCAGATCGGCCAAGGGTGACAGATGGAGGTTAATTTAGATAAATGTGAGGTGTTGCATTTTAGAAAGGCAAACCAGGGCAGTACTTATACAATCAATAGTAGTGTTCCAGGGAGTGTTGCTGAACAAAGAGACCTGGGGTGTAGGTTCATAGTTCCGTGAAAGTGGAATCATGGAGTGGTGAAGAAGTGGTTTGCCACGCTTGTCTTCATTGATCAGAGGTGGAGTTAGGGTGTCATGTGTTTGTAGAAAACATTAGTGAGGCCACTTTTAGAATACTGCATACGATTCTGGTTGCCCTTCTATAAGGAATGATGTTAAACTTGAGAGGGTACAGAAAAAATTTGCGAGGATGTTGCCATGACTAGAGGGTTTGAGTTATAGGGAGAGACTGAATAGGCTGGGGCTGTTTTTTCTAGAGCATCAGGGTGACCTTTATAGAGGTTTATAAAAACATGAGGGGTATAAATAGAGACAACAAGGTGCAGGGCTGGATGAACACAGCAGGTCAAGCAGCATCATAGGAGCAGAGAGGCTGACGTTTGGGGCCTAGACCCTTCATCAGAAAAGGGGGAGGGGAAGGGAGTTCTGAAATAAATAGGGAGAGAGTGGGAGGCGGATAGCAGATGGATAGAGGAGAGGATAGGTGGAGAGGAAACAAACAGGTCGAAGAGGCGGGGATGGGGCCAGTAAAGGTGAGTGTAGGTGGGGAGTTAGGAAGGGGATAGGTCAGTCAAGGGAGGACGGACAGGTCAAGGGGGCGGGATGAGGTTAGTCGGTAGGAGATGGAGGTGCGGCTTGAGGTGGGAGGAAGAACAGGTTAGGGAGGCAGGGACGAGCTGGACTGGTTTTGGGATGCGGTAGGGGGAGGGGAGATGTTGAAACTTGTGAAATCCACATTGATACCATTGGGCTGCAGGGTTCCCAAGCGGAATATGAGTTGCTGTTCCTGCAACCTTCGGGTGGCATCGTTGTGGCACTGCAGGAGGCCCAGGATGGACATGTCGTCTGAGGAATGGGAGGGGGAGTTGAAATGGTTCGCGACTGGGAGGTGCAGTTGGTTATTGCGAACCGAGCGTAGGTGTTCTGCAAAGCGGTCCCCAAGCCTCCGCTTGGTTTCCCCGATGTAGAGGAAGCCACGCCGGGTACAGCGGATGCAGTATACCACATTGGCAGATGTGCAGGTGA